CCCGGGCGGCGGCGCCCGCTCGCCCCGGGGGCCTCCACGCCCTAGTGGCGCCGGAGGAAGGAGCTGGCCTGTCAGCTCCTAAGGGGAGCAGTGCCAGGCCCTATGGAGGCTCAGGTTGTCCCCAGCCCAAAGCCACCACACCCGGGACATAATAGCACCGGGGTCTGTTACAATAGGAAGTACTATTTTAAAAGAAACTACCCTCTTAATTCATGGGGATGATGAATGTTACTCTGGTCCACAGCCTCGATTGCCTAGGCTTTTATGCACACAGGTGCCTAAATGACATTATAAATAAATAAATAAAATTCAGGGTTTTGTTTTTTTTTTTTTTTTTTTTTTTTTTTTTTGAGAAAGGCATAGCCACTTACACAATGCTCAGCAATGTGAAGGGACCCCCTGATCTTGCTGCACCTAATTACTGAGCACTGACTCAACCCCAAGGTAAAAATTCCCTCCATTGTACAGCTCACCATAAAATAGGTTTAAGACGGTCATTACAGCTTTAAAGATAAAATTATGCATCTGCTTTTCTGAAATTACCTTGAATATTGGCTTTGTTTTTCTCAAGAAGATGTCTACATCAACATGAGAGGTGTGGTGGCCCCAAGAACTTGGGCCACCAATTCTCCAAATCAGAAGCAGGACCCCTCTCTAATCATCGCCACCAAATGCCCTGGACCACCCTCCTAATGTTCCTTGTTTCAACAGAGCCCAGGGAATGATGGGATACCAAGAAAAGATGCCCAGGTCCTGTCCCAGCGCAAACGCTGCTCTTCTTTCCCCATCAAGGACCTGACATTGGCCTTGCACTATTGAAACTCGCACTCACATCAACTGATCTCACACCGCAGAGCCATAGGCCCCAAAGAGAACCCTCTCCACTGAAGAACTTCAAGGTCCTGAAGATAAAAAATAAAAGCAATAATATTATTTTCAAACATCAATATTTTCAATTTGAAAATGTCAACTGGAGATTAGCTGAGTCAACACACCGGACAAAAACAGTTTTCAAGCTGGTTAGGAGAAAAGTGAGTAAAAGAAGCCTTCATTGTTGACCCCTTTGTTGCTGTTGTCCTCTTATTTCTTTGTTTTTTTTTCTTTTTCGTTGATTCTGTCATATTGCCAGAAAAAAAAGCAAGGAATTGTGGGAAGAGGAACAAGTATTGTAAGACGTTATGCCAACCATCTTCCACACTAAAAAGAAGCAGACAGGAAAACTGTCACTAAAACTCTCAGCAGGATTGTAGATGAGGACATGTAATCCCACTAGCTGCAGTTGCCTTGCCCTCCCTCAAGCACTGGGCTTGATCAATATTTAAATAAGTACTTGGCTTTCAACTGTTCTGGGTTCAAACTCTAAGCGCATGCTCTGGCAACTTGAAAAGAAGCAGGTGACTGCCTGAGGCAGGAAGATATCCCTGTGTAAATAACTCTTTGCATCTGATTGATTTCGCTCCTGCAGACACAGGTCACTCAGGACATGGATAGCACTGAGCTGGGCTGGAACTGCAGGTGTTTAGAATTCAGACAAAGCCTGCTATTCTCAGGCCACAGACAAGGAGTGCTCAGCCAGAAAGAAAGCAGGTGGGCAATTCTGCTGGCATTGCCCCAGCTTCCCAGGGAGTCCTCTGCAGTATCCCAGCTGGTCTGTCTTGTCTAACAGTCCAGCCTCCATTCATCCTTAACCTTTATGCTACCCAGACCTCCTCCGTAAGTCCCTTCTCCATTGTCCTGCTTTCTTCCATCCTCTGACCTTTGACAAAGAGTCGTAGTCTTATCACACGGAAGAGCACTTGCCTATACTTGCTGTCATGGGCAGGACTATTAAAATTCTCTGATGACTAGCTTGTGTCAAGTTGACATAAACCTAGACAGCACAGAAGCCAATCCTAACTTTCTTTCTAATGCTGTGGCGAATACCATAACCAAAAGCAAGTAGGGGAGGAAACCATTTATTTGGTTTCCTGATCACAGTCCATAAAGTTAAGGCAGTACCCTGGGGGTGGGAACTGAAGTAGAGGTCACAGAGGGATGCTGCTTACTGGCTTGCTTTTTCATATAACCCAAGACACTTGCCCAGATATAGTAGGGCACAGTAGACTGGACCCTCCCAAATCAGTTATTAAAAATTGAAAACAATTCTCCCATATTCTCTACAGGCCAATTTGATGTAAGCATTTTCTCAGTTGAGGTTCCCTTTTCCCAGGTGGCTCTAGTGTGTGTCCAGTTGGGGGAAGAAAACAAACTAACAGCACAGAGCCCAACATACTCAAAACCAGGGGAAAGTCTCAAGTGGAACACTGTCCATGCACAAAATAATGTTTACCTTCAGCAAATCCCTAGGGGCCTGAAACTCTAACATTAATGATTTGTTCCGCCTCTATTGCCACTATTTTTTAAAATAATGTTTTCAAATGAACTTTTTAATGTAAGTATACCAAGTAATGGGTTTCATTGTATATGGAAGGGACTGTTTATATTCAACACAGTTCTCTCTTCTGGCTACATATTATCACCCCAGGGCCCCACACTAGACCATAATCTCCAGGGGATAGGACCCAGGTTTGTAACTTCCCCAGGGGATTCCAAAGTCTAGACCAAGTTGCAATCAGATGAAAGGGACTGAGTTTGTCACCAGTGCAGGAGATGAACATCAACCTTTAATGACACAAGGGTAAGTGACATAGCCCTCCTTTCTGTTTCTCCTGTGTTGGACAATCTGCTCAGAACTTGAGGTGTGCTCTGCTTCAGGGAAGTGTGCACATGAATCATGTTGGGATTGTAGAAAGGCAAATCCTTGTTTAATATGAGCTGAAGGCTGCAATGCTGCATTTCTGATGAACTTCAGAAAGTGCCCACCTGCCTGGTCTCCAGACCAACCTCCAGGTGTGGTAGTTCATGCCTATAATCCAGCAATTGGGAGGTTGAAGCAAGAGGATCACCATGAGTTCAAGGCAGCCTGAGCTATGTAGTAAGTTCCAGGCCAACCTAGACTATATTTAGAGAGAGCCTGTCTTTCAAAAAGTCATGATAGAGCAAGATGACAGTGGGCACACTTTTAATCCTAGCACTCAGGAGGCAGAGGCAAGTGGATCTCTGTGAGTTCAAGGCCATCCTGGTCTAGAAATGAGTTCCAGGACAACCAAGGCTACACATAGATACCCTTTCTCGGAAAAAAAAAAAAATCCATGCTAAACACCTGTAACCCCCACACTTGAAAGGCAGAAGCACCAGTCTAGGTTGGATTAGCCACCTGCCTTCTATACCCAGAATTGTTCTGGGATATATTTGAATAGAAGCTGTCCACAAAAGAAGAGTTCTCAATGGCTGTTATGAAAGGAAAAGCTTATTCCATTGTTCTATGTGGGATGTGTGTGCAGCTCATCGCAGGTGAGGGTCCTAGCCTTCAAGGTACATTGCTAGGCAAGGATATGTGTACATGCAGGAGAGAGTGTAGGCTTCCAAGTGCATTATAGAAGAGGGATGTGTGAACCAAAAGTTCAAGACCACCCAGTCTACACAGCACAATTCTGTCTCAAAATACAACAATGCAAAAACAAATAAGAACAGAAGTTCAAAATAGACATAAGGGACAAGCAGAGAAAAAGTCAATATTTGCTACCAAAGAAGTCACTACCTCAGAATATTTTTAGTCAAATAATAGTAACTGCTAACTACCCACAAAATGCATATGTTACAATCTTTGTATAAAAGAGATCATATTTTGCCAGTTTTAAATATAAAATCTTTCTGACAGGGAAAACTTCTATTAGGCAAAACCTGTTTTAAACAAAGTTACTTTTCAAGGCCTACAAAAATGTTTTAATTTTTCTTGAACTTGGAAGTAAAACATGAACTTTTAGGTCAAGAAAAAAAATGTCTTACCATATAATATTATCTTTATTTGCAGTAATAAAATATTTCTTATTTTAATTTTTCAGGAGGAGGAGGCCTACGAAGCTGAAGTGCACAGAGCCCACAGAAATCTCAATGCACACAAGTTCTCAAAGTCCATGTTCGTCCCAGGTAGTTAGAAAAGCCTGTAGACCTTCCTATCATGGCTGATATTTGCATACAGCTGCTTACATGAGTGGCAGGAAGATATTAGGGAAATTATAAATACACCTCTTGAGTAGAACCAACCCTATAAATATACAGGATTTGACAGTTCCCACACATGCAATTTGTGAAACACTGTCCATGCACAAAATATTGTTTATTCGTCTAATCCCTAGGGTCTTAAAACTCTAACATTAAAGATTTGTTCCACCTCTATTGCTACCTTTTTTAGCTTGTGACTGGTGGTCCTATCTGGACCCAGTCTTTCCAGGTTCTTTTTGTCTCAGTTAAAGAATTAAAATACAGATGCACACAGATTACAGAGTGAGAAGGAAGCTTCATTCAGAGGCAAAGCAATATTACATCTCCAATATTCGGTCAAAGAGCAGAGGCCAACTGAGTGAAAGAGCATTCAGGGGCAGAGGCATTGTTTGGGGCTTCATTTTGTGGGCTCTAGGAGGAGGATGGGCTTGGATGACAGGGGGCTTGGGAGTGTGGTTCTCTGTTTTGGCTGACAGATTTGATTATGTAAGATTTTTTTTTCCCCTCTGAGTGTTCTTTCCCACAATGCATCCACACCATACTGGACACTCTGCTCTTTTTTCAAGTTCCCAAAAAGACTGCCTGGAAGTGCCTAGATCAAACAGGACTTAAACTTGAAGTAATTTTTCTGACTGGCTCGACAGTGCCAGGATTACAAACATGTGCCACCAAACCTGGGCCTTGAAACACCAATTTCGATTTTCTGTCTCTCACCCTTTGAGAGCTCTGGATCATTCTGACTTGTGAAAAGCTATCAAATCCTACCAGAGATCCATCCAAGGAACCACTGAGGTTTGCAAAGAAGTCTACTCTAAGGCCGGGCATTGGTGGCACACGCCTTTAATCCCAGAACTCGGGGGAGGTAGAGGCAGACGGATCTCTGAGTTCAAGGCCAGCCTGGTCTACAGAGCAAGTGCCAGGATAGGCTCCAATGCTACACAGAGAAACCCTGTCTCGAAAAACCAAAAAAAAAAAAGTCTACTCTAGAACAGACTTTATCTCAGAATATGATTGTTTGCTACACTGATGTGCATGCTTGTGTGTGTGTGTGTGTGTGTGTGTGTGTGTGTGTGTGTGTGTGTTTTCTTGCTAAAATGGCTACAGGTAACTTCCTGTTATATCTTACTTCTTAAATATTAAGCTAATGTAAGACCCCCTTTTTGATCTCCAGGCATAACTCCACAAGACAGTCCAAAGAGATACTCTTAAAAGCACGCTGTGTCTATGTATCTTCCATCAGTCATCAGATGTTCCAGAGTGCTCCAATGTGGGTGTGTAAGAGAGAACTACATGTACCCTAACACCTGTCCAACACTGATAGGAACATGTTAAATCTCAGCCTGAAGCAAGCTTTCACGGTTATATAATAAAAGCCCTTTTTAAAGAGTTGATAATTGAGACACTAACACCATTTTAATTAGGGTGGCACAACTAGTCACTGATTATACCTGTGGGAAATAATGGGTACGAAAATGTCACATGGGCTGTAATTATATTGAAAGCTTCTGGTGACTGGTGACATGACAGATGTGAGAATGAGGCCCTGCTGCTCTGCTCATGACGTCATCTGAACACTGCTAAATGCATGTGTGGCTCTGGGTGCTCTTACTCATCACAGACAATCCAGTTCCTGGTTTCCTATTTACAAAGGGCAGGCAGAGGAAGGGACCAGAGAGGAAACTCCATAAACAAAATAAGGATGAATCTGTTTCCCTCCCACAAGAAGTTATATAAAGTATTTTCACTAAGCTTTTCAGACTTCATTTGAATACATCTGAAAGCTTCTAACATAGAATCTAAATTGAAATCAGATCCTGCCATAAACGGATCTCAGAACTTTTGTCTAACCCACCTTAACTAACCTGCAATTTCTAAAGCTAATTTAAAGGACCTAGAGTCAGGGTTAAAGGCAATGCACCACAGCTGCCTTGTTTCTGTTTTCAAGTCTGGAAGATCTGTGCCTGTTCACTTGGTATAGCTTCATCTCTAACACTCAAAGAAGGCAGGCAGGGCAAGTGAGTTTACAGAGGCATTCACACTTCAACCCAACCAAACCAACTTAACAATTATATGTAATATGCAGAAAAAACTACACACTTCAGTAAGCACTCACATTGTCAAGAGAGGAGAGAGAGAGTTCAAATGAATAACATAATGATATACCCCAACGGTTTAGAAAAACATGCAAAAGCCAATCCAAATGACTGCAAGAAATAACAAATAAAAAAGTATTCTAATCAATAAGTAGACTAATGAATTAAATAGACAGTTCTCAAAAGAAAAAAACCAAGAAACCAATAAATATTTTTTTAAAGTGTCCAATATCTCAGACATCAGGGAGATGCAAATTAGAATCTCTGAGAGGCCATCTTTCGCCAAATCAGAATAGTAAACATCAAGAAAACAAATACTAGTGAGGATATGGAAAAATAAAACCATTACTCCTTGCTGTTGGGAGTATAAAGCAGCACAGCTAGTATGGTATTCAGTGTGGAGGTTCTTCAAAAAAATTAAAAATAGAACTACCCTATAGGCCAGCTCTATCACTCTTGGGAATATACTCGGGGGAGTCTAAGTCTTACTAGAGAAATGCTTGTACATCCAGTTTATACCTGCAGTAGGCACAATAGTTAAGAAGAAGCCTAGGCCACCAATAGTTGAACAGATAAAGAAAATGTGGTATATATTCACAGTGGAATTTTATTCAGCCAAAAAGAAGAAAAACAAAATCATGACATTTGTAAGAAAAATATGGAAACTCGAAAACATTTTGCTAAAGAAAGCAAGCATGGCTTAGAAGAGAAAATACCACATTTGTGTGTGTGTGTATGTGTGTGGTTCCTACATTTTGATTTTTATATATTGGGGGGGCATGAGCCATGAAACTAGAAAGGAGACCATGAGAGGGGAAAAGAGACCTGGGGGCAGAAAGAGAGAAAAAGAAGGCAATTGAATTCATGTCACAAGAAAGCATAAGGGAGCTACTGGAGAGAGGAAGGGGGAGTGTGGGAGGGAGAAGAGGGCAAGAGAGGGAAGTAGGAGGGGAATCTTGAGGGAACCTATGGGCCAGTAGAATAGTGAAAAGAAGATAAGAGAAGGAGCTAGAGGAGGAAGGACAAAGTGGTGCAGCAGGCTTTCTTGGACTGCCAGCCTCCAAATCACAATTATTAATTGTGAATGCTCGGCCTTAGCTTAGGTATGTTTCTAGCTAACCTTTTTCTTTAACTTATATCAATCCATTTCTGTCAACCTATGTGCTGCTCCAAAGCTTGTTTACCTCATCTAAGTACTGTCCATCCTGCTTCCCTGCTTCCTCCATGTCTGTCTGTCTGTCTGTCTGGCCCCTGGCTAACTGGCTCCCCTTTGCTCTCTGCCCACCACCCCCACCTATCCCTTCTCTGCCTAACTATTGGCCATTCAGCTTTTCATTAGACCAGTCAGGTGCCTTAGGCCAGCAAGGTGAAACAGCAACACATCTTTACATAGTTAAAACAAAAACAGCATAAACAAAAGCAATACCTCTTTACATAGTTAAACAAATATTCTATTCTACAACAAAATGGGCTTAGAAATGCCATAATGAAACCCATTATTTTGTATGCTAATTTTGAAAATTAAAAAGAAAAGAAAACTATGGTATTTAGCTTCAGGATGAAGCTAAGCCATGAAAAATGAAAACCAAATACTGTGTGAGATTAAAAAAAAATTCTTATTAGTATATTGTGGAGATGCACAAGAAAACTATGTATCTATAAAACAAAAACAAGTCACTGTGAAAAAGGAGTCATCAGAGGACAAGAAATTAAAAATAGGAAATAGTAAATTTTAAAAGTTTAACACAGGGTTGATGATAAAGTCATAGAAATGTCCCAGAAAGTTGTGTTGTGACTATTTTTAAGACAAATGCACAGGACTGAGGATGGCTTCCCATTTGTGTTTCTCTCTCTCTCTCTCTCTCTCTCTCTCTCTCTCTCTCTCCACACACACACACACACAGAGAGAAAATATGAAATAATTTTTAATAAATATTAATCTCACCTAACATCCCACTAAAAGAAATTCTAAGTGAAGAAAGAAAGGGGGAATGAAAGAAATGATTAAAGAACATTTTTAAGCTCAAAATTCAGGAAAATGTGTATGTCTTTGTTAAGGTTACTATTGATTGCTGCAATGAAAACACCATGACCCAAGCAACTAGGGAAGGGCAAGGTTTCTTTGGCTTACACTTCAATATCACTGTTCATCACTAAAGGAAGTCAGGACAGGAACTCGAACAGTTCAGGAACCTGGAAGCAGGAGCTGATGCAGAGGTTATGGAGGGTTGCTTGCTATGGTTTGCTATGGCTTGCTCTGCCTGCTTTCTTATAGAGCCCAGGATGGCACCACTCACAATGGGCTGAGCCCTGCCACATCAGTCACTAAGAAAATGCCTTACAGCCAGATCTGATGAAGGCATTTCTCAACCAAGGTTCCCTCCTTTCAGATAACTCTAGCTTGTATCAAGTTGACATAAAAGTAGCCAGTTTACTTCTAATAGATCCTCAAGACCTGTTAAGAGTGTTAAGGTACACAGACAAGACTGTTTGCTCTATACAACACTTTTGAAACAGCAAAATTTGCAAACAATGTGATTGTTCATATGGTTGTTTGGTTAGGTAAACTATAGAACCTTCGTCATGCAGTTGTTTTAAAATACTAATGTGAGGCTGGCGTGGCCCAGGGTGAGAGCACTTGCTGCTCTACCAGAGAACCCACGTTTTATCCCCAGTACCCCTGTAAGACTATTCACAACTGCTGGTAACTCCAGTTCCAAATGATCCTCCACCTCTAGCCTCTATGAGTACCTGTACTCACACACAAATACACACATATGCACATAATTAAAAAAGAAAGCAAATCTTTTTAAAACGCACAATAAATACATAACAAGGGAATAGAGGCAAAGATCCATGGTCAAGCCCCCAGTGTTGCAGAGTGAAAAATAAAACGAGAACAGGGCAGTGTTTATAGGTGTCTGTGTTTGCAGATGTGCTGTAGCGGGCCTAGAATGTCACTGAGAATGTATCAACACAGTGACCTCAGAAGAGAAACAGGACTCAGGATTAGTGAACAACCTTTAACAGTAGACACGAATGAATGAATGAATGAATAAATGAATGAATGAATGGATGAAT